CCACATAAGCAAAAAGAAAAAAGCCGGAAGTGGCGCTGTGGCTCAAGTGGTAGAGCGCTAGCCTTGAGCTGAAGAGCTGAGGGACAGCACTCAGGCCCAGAGTTCAGGCCCCACGACTGGACCCAAAAAAAATAAAAAATAAAAAAAAATAAAATAAAATAAGTAAAAACTAGCATTACCAAGTATGATTATTTTTCAGCATTTGGTAGAAAAGAATTCCTCTTAAAAACTGGTAAGGTGGCTCAGTGGTAGGGTGCTTGCCTTGCATGAATGAGGCCCTGGGTTGGATTCCTCAGCACCACATAACCAGAAACAGCCGGAAGTGGCGCTGTGGCCCTGTAAAGCCCTATCCTTGAGCTGAAGAGCTCGGGAACAGACAGCACCCAGGCCCAGAGATCAAGACCCACAACCAACACCTCCCCCAAAAATCTTCCAAATATACCATCTCACCAGGCTGAAAAAAGTAGCTTAAAAAAAAAAATGTATCTTAAAAAGAAAAAAGTATCTTCAAAAATTAAAGTAGCGGGCTGGGAAGGTGGCTCAGTGGTAGAGTGCTTGCCTTGCATGCCTGAGGCCCTGGGTTCGATTCCCCAGCACCACATAAGCAAAAAAGAAAAGAAAAAAGCCAGAAGTGGCACTGTGGCTCAAGTGGTAGAGCACTAGCCTTGAGCTGAAGAGCTGAGGGGCAGTGCCCAAGCCCAGAGTTCAGGCCCCATGACTGGACCCCCCCAAAAAAAAATTAAAGTAACAATACATCCTCCTCACTGTTCATCTAGTTTCTTTGGCTAGAGTCAAATTGATTATATGTGCATATTCAACGAAGTTAAACTAAGCTCCAGACAGACTAAAACCTGACTTTTTAAATCACATAATTTTTTCTTTTTTTCGGTCATGGGCCACTTCCGGTTTCCTGGTGGTTTACTGAAGATAAGAGTTTCACGGACTTTCCTGCCCCGCTGGCTTTGAACCGCGATCCTCAGAGGATCTCAGCCTCCTGAGTAGCTAGGATTACAGGCGTGAGCCACCGGCACCCGGCTAAATCACATGATTTAAAGTGGTGACATTTGTGCCAGTTTATGTAACAAATGAGTTGCTCAGAATAATTTTGATAAAAATATCCGGTGTAAAAAACATTTCAAAAATTTTAAAACCGGAAGTGGCGCTTTCAGAATCATTTATTTTTTCTAATTTATTCATTTAAATCATAAAAAGTCGTTCACGTATCTTTGCAATAGTAATTCAGACTTTGCACCAGTTAATTAACTTTTCCTTTAGTTTGTCTAAATTTGGTTAAATATTTGCAGCTTGCCCACATCTGTAAATACGGGAGCAGAACTGAAACTCCTTTTATCTTACCTTATTCTGTGAAAAGAACGCCGAAGTCCTAAGCCAAATACAGCAGTATCATGATCAGAATCAAAGTAAAATAACAGATCTCAATGTTAAAATCACAGTACTGCCTCTAGTCAAAGTATTTGTTCATTTATGTGTATAACGCAACACCGACCAGTAAGTCTCGCTGACTGAGCTGCAGGAACAGGACCTTTACGTGCAGGAAGGGGAATAAGGTTTGTTCAGGGTACATTTCGTAGGGGAAATCCACCCGCCGAGTCCGTAACGATTACACTCTCAACAGGTGATTTAAATGGCGAGGACGTGTAAACAGTCTTTATTAGGAGCTTTGAAACTAACTTTCACCACTTAAAGATGCGACGTGCAATAGATACGATTCTTATTCCTACGTGGGGCAGTTGGAAAGGCACAGCCTAAGTAGCCGAGGATCCACAAGGCTCGGGAGAAAGTGCGCAACCGCGCGGGCGCGAGGCCTGGAGCTCGCTCCCTCCGCGCCGGCGGGACTGCGGGCCGGGGCCGGCCCCTCCCGCGCGCCTGCTAGTTGCCAGGAGCAGCTGCACTTAGCACCTCGCCCGGCCCCGCTCGGCCGTCCCCCTCTCCGCCCTCCCTCAGGGCCGAGCAGCCGAGAGGTCCTCCCTTCTCCTCCTCTTCGGGGCCTCCGGCCAGGGGAGGCGGGGGTGACCCGCAGCAGCTGACCCGGCCCGGGCACTGCCTCTCCCACAGCCCTCAGGACACACCATGGGCACAGAGGCAGGTTTGCGGCACAATAGCGACGACGCAGGCGGCGGGCCCGGCGACTCTCAACTGCCTCCCTGACCACAGCGACCACCGCCCAACGGCCCCGAGAAGCCATCGCGCACTACCCGCGGACGACCGGCGGAACCGCTCAGCTCCCTTGGCCACCTAGTACAGCTACGTCAACAAGTATGGCGGACGAGGGGCGGCGGCCGGAGCTAGCCGGGGAAGGCTGGGGGAGGTACGTCAGGGCCCGGGCTCCCATCCGGGAGGCCCGGCTGCGCTTCGCCCCTCAAGATGGCGGCGGCAGTGACGCGTCTGCGTACGGAACTCCTACGTCGCGCCAGGGCCGCCGGGAAGTGAGGTTCTCAGAAGAGCCTCCGGAAGTGTACGGCGACTTCGAGCCCCGGGGGAGCGCAGAAAGGTCCCCGGTGGGAAGACGAACCCCGCCAGAAAAGTTCCGGCCGGATTCTGCGAAAGAGGAAGTGAGGGAAAGAGTGTACAACCTACGGTCTCGGCCACCCCGGCAGCCGCGGGCCCTGGAAACGGAGGAGATGAAGACGCGAAGGGCGGCTGCCATTCTCCAGCAGCAGCAGCAGCAGCAGCACTCACAGCAGCCTCCTCCGCCCCAGTCGTCTCCGGTTACGACCCGGAGAAGGTTACGCGAGTCGCTGTCGTCGGAAGGTGAGCCCGGCGGCGGGGACTGGGCGGTGCGGAGCGCGCGCGGCGGGCGGGCCGACTTGGAGGCTGGCGGAGTCGGAGGTGGAGCCGACCCCGCCGGGATCGCGGGGGCTCCTCGACCCCTCGGCGTGCGCTCCCGCGCCGAGTTCATCCCGCAGACGGAAAGAAGGCGCTGACCCCAAGGAGGGCCTAGATGGTCGTGAGGAGCTACCCGGGCCGAGCCGCAGAGCCTGCACACCCCTGGGCATCCGTTTCGCGGAGTTTGGGTCTCTTTCTGCAGGCTTTCAAGTGGGGACCGAGAGCTAGGGCGATAGTCGGGACCTTGCATCCCTGCAGGCCCCGTTCCATTTCCGTTCCCTCTGCAGATGCTCTTACCGAAACCACGTCCATTTCCTCCTTTCATTTTTTTTTTTTTGGGTGCCCAAAGTCCCCAACTGAGGAACATAGTTCTAACCCAGCCTTTGGATCCCTGTCCATCCCTACTAGGCGAGGCTTTTGCGAGGGAGACCTGCGGGGGATTATTAGTGAATTGACTTGAGACTTTACACCAAATTCTTATACTGACATGGGGTAACTTAATTATCCTGAACTGAAGATCTCCATTATCACATACACTTCACCTGTGATGATTGGCTTCTGTCAAAAAATTCACCTTGAAGATCATAGCCTGACAAGTCGAGACCCAGTTAATTAAGATACTTTGCTCTAAAGGACCAAAATGTTGACAGTGTGTGTACTGTGTTTACATAAGTCCACAAGTAATCACATTTCCTTAAAACCATTCTTCCTCACGTTTCTCCCCTTCTCCCCCACCCCATCCAACACTAAGTCACAGACAGTTTTATATTAGCCTCATGGAAAGTACCTACCTATGAGATAACTATTTGGGGCTTAGAGTCACAATGGGATGGCATAGTTAATGGTGGACATGATATATGTAAACGACTGGATTTTCGGTTTAGAGCACAGGAAAAGGCTGCAAGTTTACTTGCCAACGCTTGAAGGCTTGATTTTGGAAACCTTATGTTAAATATATGTGCGTTACTTTTGGATGTAACAACTCTAGACCATTTCGCCCATATATATGTTAAGTCTTACCTCTTTTAAGATGACAAATGTCTTAAAGAATCCTGCCTAGGATACTTGATAGTAATTTACTTGTGCTAATTCTATATCTCTTTCAATACCTGGGAAAATGCTTGCACATGGAAAGCAATGTACATATATGCTACATTGTATTGACTGGTGCAGTTACATAGGCTTTTTTAAGTAAAATTTTATCTTTAGTAAATCTTTAATAATATATTTTGTTATAATAGCATGAACATTTTGATAAACTTGTTATACTCTTAAGAGTAAAAACGAAGTTTTGGTAAACCTAGTTATACTTTCTTTAGTAGTGGTATTGGGGTTTGGACTCGGGGCCTTACCCTTTCTAGACTAGTACTCTACCAGATAAACCGTGCCATCGCTTCTTTTTGCTTATTATTTTGGAGATGGAGTCTAATGGACTTTTCTCCCCAGGCTGACCTCAAACTGCAGTCCTCCTGGTCTCATCTAGGATTATGGGAATGAGCTACTAGCACTTGGTTCCAAATTGTACATTTTAAAGAAATGAATTGCCTGTTTTTGCTCCTATGATGGTGTTAATTTTTCGTTCTTTGTGCCATGATCTCCCAGATTATATACCTGTATTTTAATTCTTATGTTTTTTCTTTAGAAGATGAACCATTTTCCCAAAATGTTATAAGCCAAACAAAGAAAACTGTCAGGAAAATGCATGAGTCTCCAGGTAAGAATAGTTCATTTTTTGTTTGTTTCCCTTACTTGCCAACTTTTTGTTGGTAGTGGTGGTGGTAGTCATCGTGGGGCTTAAACTCTGGGCCTGGGTGCTGTCCCTCAGCTCAAAGTGAGGGTTCTACCACTTGAGCCACAGTGCCACTTCCGGTTTTCTGGTGGTTTATTGGAGATAAGAGTCCCAAGGACTTTTCTTGCCTGGGCTGGCTTTGAACCCAATCCTCAAATCTTAGCCTTCTGAGTAGCTAGGATTACAGGCATGAGCCACTAGCACCCAGCTTTACCAACTTTTGTTTTGTTTTGTTGTTGTTTTTTCCCGGTCATGGGGCCTAAACTCTGGGCCTGGCCACTGTCCTTCCCTCAGCTCTTCAGCTCAAGGCTAGCGTGCTACCACTTGAGCCACAGTGCCACTTCTGGCTTTTTCTGCTTATATAGTGCTGAGGAATCGAACCCAGGGCCTCATGCATGCAAGGCAAGCACAGAGCCACCTTCCAGCCCCTTCACCAACTTTTTAACAGTATAAATTCAGCAGGGGTTCATCAACTATCCCAAATCACACCTTATTCAGAGTTTTATGAGTATTTATCAATTATTCCTTGAATGTATTGACACATATGTATTGACACATAGACAAAGGTAGGCCCTCAAGTATGCACTCAAACTTCTTAAATGAAAAGGTGAGACTGAAGTAGTAGTATCTATAAGTTTATAGAGTTTTTAAAAAAAATACTTAAGCAAAAAGCAAAAATTAGATTTTCTTTTTTATTTTTTTTTTTGTGGTACCAGGGTGTGAACTCAGGGCCTTGTGCTGCACCAACTGAGCCACACCACCAGCCCTTTTGTGTTATGAGTAGGATCACACTTTTTTGCCTGAACTGGCCTTGGACCATGATGCTCCTTTCTCTGACTTGGATGTTGCTTGGATTACAGGTGTGCACCTCCATTCCCAGCTTATTCTTTTAGATAGGATCTTGCTAACTTTCTGCCCAGACTGGCCTTGAAGCACATTCCTCCAGTCTCTGCCTCCCAACTAGCTGGAATTACAGTTATGAGCCTCTGTGTTTTACTATTTTTAAAGACACGTAAATTCTTTTTTTTTTTTGG